AGAAGAGAAGAGAAGAGAAGAGAAGAGAAGAGAAGAGAAGAGAAGAGAATGGAGAATGGGAAATGGAGAATGGAGAATAGAATTCTTTAATGGCCATATGTGATTGGACACACAAGCAATTTATCTCCAGTGCATAAGTTCTCACTGTACATATAAACAACAAAGTAGTATAATCATAAAGTACCAATAGGAGAAGGTAGCAAAAAAGATAAGAAGGATAATAGTAATATAGCCCTACTACATGGGTAAATATACTTAGATACCATGATCTAAATAGAACCCATGCTGTGTAAGCAGCATTATTAGTGCTGTTTGATCTTCAGGACCAAATATTAGATATCTCAGCTGTGACCTCCTGGTTTTCATAACACAGGGCACCAAATTTATCTGAACATATCCTTAATTCATCAATTTTGGACCTGCATTATTAGTTTTCATTATTCTCATGATCTATGCCTGCAAAGCTGGTGTCCCAATTTTTGCCCATCTCCAGAAAGTCCATCTTTCTTCCATTCATGAAACTCGTTGCTACCTAAATATCTTCTGGAGATCCTCAGTCATCCCGGTCATGGTTGTTCCAAAGGTGGTTTTTCAAAAGGCAACTGGATTTTGTTTTTTGCTTGAAGATGTTTCACTTCTCATCCAAGAAACTTCTTCAGTTCTGTTGCTACCTATATCTGATGTAATTTCCAAGCATCAACTTCTTGTTCCCAATGAATGACACTTCCAACTTACACTTAAGAAAGGAATGTTGATTTCTAAACAATTATATGACATGAGGTGCAAGTAGGATGAAATTGGAATAGGGATGAATGGGTCAAAGTGTACCATAGATGTGTAAAACGTTTTCTGAACCCACCTGAGCAAAATGCCAGGGGCTGCATCTGTTAAAGCAGGCAACACTAAGGAAAAGTCCTGAGTAGCATTAACCCAAAGCTGACATTTAATTTAATTGGACTTAATTTAAATTAATAATTCAAACAAATGTAAAATGAAACCTACGATGTGAGATCCATTTTAATTAAATGTGGTTAATATGATTACTTTCTATATATTTAAACACATTGAACACTACAGTTCAATGGCAACTTTCTTAGGAGCACTTAGTAAAAATGTAGGGAAGAAGGAAGAGTTCACACATCTTTGCTGCAGTCAATTTTATAACCTCTACTACTGCTTCTCAGAAAGACTGACTTATTAGATTTCACCTAGTATCAGTTGCAAGCTCAGAGACTTATTTATTAGATATTGTGCCTTTCCATCAAATTGGAAAGGATTTGTTGAGCCTGAGTGAAATAGAAAATAGGATGCTGGCCTTTCTGGAGGCAGCTGATAATGTTGAAAGATCCCAGAACATTAAGACCATAATCCCACAAGCCATAGATTTCTAGCATCTCATAAGCTTCTCAGATCATCCTTAGATTCTCCTCTTTGAGGTTGAGGAACAAGAGTAAACTAGATTGGGCCAGGAATCCGGCAGGAGGTTTTTTGGAATCTTTTCTTCTGAGGTGCTTCTGAGGACTACAGAGTCATCAGAACTCCTTTAATAGGCCAGTGGAAGGAAGGAAGGAAGGGAAGAAAGAAAGAAAGAAAGAAAGGGTTCTATATTAACAGACTCCAAATACTAATTTCTGATTGGTCCGCACATATCGCAATACGATTGGTTAAACTGCTGCGATTGGTTCGCTATGAATCAACCGCGATTGGCCGGACCGATCGCGGGAGATTCAAAGAACTGTCATTGGCTGGCGAGCCGCGAGCAATCCCCATATGAAGGGCTGCCGCGGCTCTGAGATCTTGTACAGATCTATACATGAAATAAAGAGCTGAAAAAGTCACACTGGTCTCGAGTCTCTCTTTCCCGATCTAACAGAAAGAAAGAAAGAAAGAAAGAAAGAAAGAAAGAAAGAAAGAAAGAAAGAAGGAAGGAAGGAAG